TAATTCGTAGTCATGCTTATTTTGTGTTGCAAAATAATTCGTAGTCATGCTTATTTTGTGTTGCAATAATTCATAGTCATGCTTATTTTGTGTTGTAGTAATTTGTAGTCATGCTTATTTTGCAACTTTTCATTCCCATCTAGAAATGGTGCAGCGTTTAAAATCATTTTGATTTATGATTTTTTTTTTTACTTACTTAACAATTGAGGTGTTTCTTAAGCTTGGAAAACAACAACTTACAAATACACAAGATTCATCTGGTTAGGTTTAGATTAAGACAAAATTACATAGGTTTTAAATTGTAGGTTTTATATAATAAACTTATTGAGTCTTCAAAACCAAAATATTAAAGCTGTAATGAACGTGATTTGTGAAAATCTTACTGTATAGCATTTTGAATATTATATTTAAATATTAGTTTGTTCTCTTCATATTGCGTGGTTTATTGCTGTGTTATTAGTTCAACATTTAGATATTTTTATTATATGCCTTTATTTATATGTTTTTCTGACTAATTAGTTAAATAAAATACTGTGTGTGTTTTTATGGTTCAAGATTAGATAATTTGGCAGCTTCCCAGTTTTTGATATATAAAAAAGATATGAATATATTTTTCAATTCGTCCATCATCCGACTTTCATGGTTCATATGATTACTGTAAATTTCACGTGTGCAAAGTCCATTGTTTAAAATAAAAGAAACTAACAATGGGTATATTGTAATTTAATAATAATAATACATTAATTTTTAATTCAATAAGAGTTCTCATTTCTCAACAAATATCATAGTCTTTTTAGTTTGACATGTGTTTTTACAATACATTATTTGTTTACTAAAAGAACAAAATACAAAGGTTGAATATGTTATTTTAAAATGATTTTAGAGCCTCACCATGTCATTACAATCCACGTTGCTATGTCGGATCATATTCTTTCTCTTTGACAATAGCCCTGCATCATAGCTTCTATTGCAGAAAGTTCCTGCATAAAGCTGTTATGTCCAAAGCACAACATTCCTGTCTGAAGGTTTTCCATAATCCATCTAGTGTACGAGGACAATGATTTATCAGTGCCAATTTCAATAGGCCAATCATAAATCCAATCGGTGATTTCACTGGTATATATTTGTATGGAATACCAAGAATACTCATTTCATTTTTCGGGGGGTTATAATATGCGATAGTTTAATGGATATGTCATGAAAGCAACTTGTGTGCACATGACTTACTTTTCAAGACAGAGATCTTTCTGTATTATGTTGTGTGCTGTTGCCTGTAAATGGTTTTTGTCACTGACTTTTGTGTTATTTGATTCTTACCTGTTACAAGACACTCACTTTGCTGAATATGGCTGGGATACATGTTGCAGGTCTCTTTCTGGATGGTCCGGGTGTCTCAAGTTGATCCATATTTCTTTATTTTTCAATGTTGTTAAAATACAATCTGAACACATTTTTACGATCTGAGTATATAAATATTTGAGCCAGGAAAGATTTGTTAAATAACTTTTACAAACTGATCAGTTTTCAGTTGCATCATACTACCTACGAAACGCCAAACATGTAGTTCTGATACATGCCCTTCCACCAAGACTTGTTGATATGTATATTTGAAATCATTTTAATGTAAAGTGCTCTACCTTCTGTGATGATAAACATTTAACAGTTTCTGTTTCTTAAGTTATTTGAAACTACATTATTTTCTTTCTCTTACGTATATTGAAGGGTTTGTTTAGCCATTCTTGTGTTCGATAAAAATAGGTGTTAATTGCCAGTGTGATTGGTTTTATTTTGTTCCTCATAAAGATTGTTTAACCACAAATTATTATACTGTTTTAACAAGTATATGAGAGCTCAACTGGAAACCGTTTTGTTTGAAGGATTTTTAAAGACCTTTTAAAAGGTGTTGTTTTAGAATGTGTGCTTTTGAAATTTGTTTTCAGCTGTAGAAAAATGAGAGAATTTTATCGAAAGAAAATTAGATAAATCACAAGACTGTATTACTTCCTGGTGGAATTCTCTGTTACACCATTTGGCAGATGACGAAGGAAAAGTCAAAAAAAGCACTCAAGTCATGAAAGATTTAAACTGTATCAGTTCAAAAGTTAATCACAAGGAGTACTTTTATTATGTGTTGTGATGAAATTGTTTGTTTCTTAATCTAGGTGTATAAAATAATAATAAAAGTACTGTGTGATAGATGAATTTTACACAAAAAATGTCATCACTGACAGGCATATAAAACTTGTAATAATTATTATTTGTGTTTCAACGATGTACAAAATAAAATTCTGGTCCATTTTAAGTGCTCTGATTACATAAAACATCCTAGATATGTTAGTGTTCGATTCCTTCCTGTGGACAGAGCGCAAATATCCCCTTGTGACACAAGAACATTTCTTGTAAATGTATATTTGATTAAATAAGTCGATTTGCTGAAAGTGGTTCGATTTTACCAGGAATTCCTAAAACAATATCTCGTGAAACTTCTGTTAAGCTTTCAATTTCTTCCAAAACTAGGACAAACTGTTACATTATTTGACCAATGAGATACTGTTGAACTCAAGGACTTGAAGATAACAGGAACTAAATCAACTGTTCAGTTCTCATCAGAGTTGGACATACGGAAGATAAGAGCCTTGTTCGTTATTTCAGTTCCTAACAATGCATATTGTAAGTGATAATAAAGCTAGAACCTGACAAGGCGACCACAGCGAACCATCAAAGTTAAGTTACATCGTGGTTGATGGTTTGTATAGAAGGCGTGTAGGTTTAAGGAGAAGCACTACATCTTTTGTTTGGGTGAGTTGTTGTTTTCAAAGTATTACTGGCAAAACTTTATTATAAGCTACTTACGTATAATTAACAGACGGTAAAGGATTCTTTCCCCCTATACCCACCCTGACAAGTTTACATGAACTCAAAGGTTACAAGTTATTTTATAGCGCTGAAAATGAGTTTCCTAATTTCACTTTAAATCATAAACTTAGGATAAAAATAAACGTACATATATGTTTGTTTTTAGGGTAAAGCTACAAAATGGGCTATCTGCGTTGTGCTCATCGCGGAGAATCAAACCCCGGATTTGGCGTAGTAAGTCTGCAATCTTACTGCTGACCCACCGGGGGGAAGAATAAAGTGTAAAAACTATAATATTTTTCTCAAACTGTAACTGGTTTCAGTGGCAACTCTTCGATGGTAAAACCTACAAAATCAGAAAATGAAATACTTCAAAATCTAAAATCACAAATAATATTCAACGTTAAACTGGTACACAATTAAAAACATTTTATTTAGGCCTATCTATGGCCTTCAAAAAGTTGACGACTGCATTTTTCGATGTTACATCCTGAGGATGACGTAGTAACGTCGAAACATGTAGAGTCGTCAACTTTTTGAAGGCCATAGATAGGCCTAAATAAAATGTTTTTAATTGTGTACCAGTTTAACGTTGAATATTATTTGTGATTTTAGATTTTGAAGTATTTCATTTTCTGATTTTGTAGGTTTTAC